ATTTTTTTTTTTTTAAAGATTTTATTTATTTCACAGAGAGAGACAGTGAGAGAGGGAACACAAGCAGGGGGAGTGGGAGAGGGAGAAGCAGGCCTCCCGCTGAGCAGGTGCTCTATCCCAGGACCCTGGGATCACGACCCGAGCGGAAGGCAGATGCTTAATGACTGAGCCACCCAGGCGCCCAATGCTTCCATTTTTTAAAAAGGATTTTATTTTTAAGTAATCTCTACACCCAATGTGGGGCTCAAACTCACAACCCTGAGATCAAGAGTTGCAGCCTCTACTGACAGCCCACCGTGTGCCCCTAATACTTATATTTTTTAATACTTGAAGCAAGTGTTTATAATGGGGTTGGAAAAATTTTTTTTTAAGATTTTATTTATTTATTTGACAGAGAGAGGGAGAGCATAAGCAAAGGGAGCAGCAGGCAAAGGGAAAGGGAGAAGGAGAAGCGGGCTCCCTGCTGCAGGACTCCCCTAGGATCATGACCTGAGCTAAAGACAGATGCCTAACCGACTGAGCCACCCAGGCTCCCCAGGGTTGGAAATTTTTTATTTACAAAATTTTTAAATTAATGTTTTGAGTGAGTACAACATTGTTATGGTTGAAAATTCAAAAGTCCCCAAAATGTACTCAATAAAAGAATCTCTTCGGGGCGCCAGGGTGGCTCAGTCGTTAAGCGTCTGCCTTCGGCTCAGGTCATGATCCCAGGGTCCTGGGATCGAGCCCCGCATCGGGCTCCCTGCTCAGCGGGAAACCTGCTTCTCCCTCTCCCACTCCCTCTGCTTGTGTTCCCTCTCTGGCTGTGTCTCTCTCTGTCAAATAAATAAAATCTTAAAAAAAAAACATCTCTCCTCCAAGCCATCCAGTTCTCATCCTGATGCAACAAAAATTATCAATATCTCTTGTACAGCCTTACAGAGATGATATATGTAACAAAATCCCGCCTCTATTTTTTTTTTTTAAGATTTTATTTATTTATTTGACAAAGAGTGTGAGAGAGCACAAGCAGGGGGAGCTGCAGAGGGAGAGGGAGAAGTAGGCTTCCCGCTGAGCAGGGAGCCTGATGTGGGGGCTCCATCCCAGAACCCTGAGATCATGACCTGAGCCGAAGGCAGATGCTTAACCGACTGAGCCACCCAGGCGCCCCCCGCCTCCATTTCTTTTACACAAGTGGTAGCACACTCTGCATGCTATGTTATAGTCCCTGCTCTTTTCACTTTGCACTGTCTCTTTGATAATGTTCAAGTAGCCTGAACACAGTGGCCTGGTTCTTTTTGAATGATTTTATAGCTTCCATTCTGTGAATTTACTGTTATTTGTTGAACAGGGCCCTTATATCTACTGACGATTATTTAAATTGTTTATTTCTGGGGTACTTTTGTTTTTGCTGTAACAGTACTGCAGTGAATAACTTTGTGTTAAATCATTTTACATATAAGCAAGTATACCCATATTCTTAGAATTTGCTGGGTCAAAGGGTATTTGCCTTTGCAACTTTGATAGATAGTGTCAAGTTGCCCTTGGTAGAGGTTGAAGCAATTTAAGCTCTCATGAAAATTATACTAGAGTATTTATTTCCCCATATTCTCACCAACATAGTATATAATCAGACATTTTGATCTGTGTGGGTGGCTATTCTAGTAGGTAAAAAATTAATGGTATAATTTAAATTTTTTGTAATATGAGTGAAGTTGAACATGCTTAATATATATATATTTTTAAGATTTTATTTATTTATTTGTCAGAAAGAGAGAGAGCACGAGCACAAGCAGGGGGAGTGGCAGGCAGAGGAAGAAGCAGGCTCCCGGCTGAGCAAGGAGTCCAATGCAGGACTCTATGATACCAGGACCTTAGGATCATGACCTGAGCCAAAGGCAGATGCTTAACTGACAGCCACCCAGGTGTCCCCATGTTTAATATACTTAAGAGACGTATTTCTTTTCTGTGAACCATTTTTTTCATATACTTTATCCTTTTTCCCCTTGAGTTTTGGTCTTATTAATTTGTAGGAACTATTTACTTATTTATTTGAAGTAGGCCCTACGTGGAGCCCCACATGGGGCTTGAACTCATGACCTGAGATTGAGACCTGAGCTGATTTCAAGAGTCAGATGCTTAACTTTCTGAGCGACCCGGGTGCCCCTGTAGGAACTCTTTTAGATATTAGGGAAATGAACTATTTAGAAAATGAGTTGCAAATATTTTTTCCAGTTTGTCATCTGCCTTTTGGCTTACCTTGTGATTTTTTTTCCATTCATTTTTAAAAATAGGTTTATCAATCTTCTAGATTTTGTATCATAGTAGAAACATCTTTTGTATTCTGAAGTTGTAAACAAATTATTTTATGGTTTTAATTTTTTACATTTAAGTCTTTGACACTTCTGCAATTTATCCTAGTGTAGAGTGTGGGGTATGGATCCAACATTTTATTTTGGATGGCCCATTTGTCTGGTTGGGATTTTTATGGGTGTCCTTCTTGGGTTATCCCCCACATGCACGTGGATCACATTTCTGTTTGCCTAGCTCACAGATCACAACTCAGATGCCTGTAGAGACTAGGCAGGTTACATAAAAGGGTGGAGAGTGCCAGGTAGGGAGTATAGCCAACTGGAAATGGGATGGCATACTTTTCTAAAGAGGGCAGCCACTACCCACTGCCTGTTGATTATTCTTTCGCAGGAATGCAGCAGGGCCCAATGTTGCTAGATTTTTGTCAAGAGAAGGGAAATCCATTTTTATATAAAATCTCTTGATTTTTAAAATGTTAACGATTTTAAAATTTAAATATAGATTTGGATAAACAGAATGTGTCTTCAGGCCAGATTTGGCTCAGAGAAGTCTTCCAATATCCTTGGCCAAGAATGAAACTTCCCACTAACAACTTTACTCTCCTATAATACAATCACAGTCTAGTAGTTTGACAGCCTGGTAGTATACAGCTGGAGTTCTGGAAGAGGAGAGAAAAGACAGTCTATATAACCCAGTCTTTGTCGTCACTGATTGAAAGAGTAATTGGAGAAATACAAGCATTTCACTATCTTTTTATCCCAAGTACATGGGAATGTGGATGTGACTTTATTAGAAGAAATTCGTGCTTCAGTGGATATTTGGATTAGAAAAATGAGTTTTCCAGCTCTGTCATTTTGGTTTTGCCAAATGACAAATTGGTGTGTGTTTTGGGAAGGATAATTGTTGGGTTACTAATCCCAGAACTGAAGCGTGGCAGTTTTTTTTCACCCTGCTCTTCCTTTCCCTTCCTCACTGCTGGTGGCTGACCCCACTGTGTGCTGAGGGCTTTCCAAGTCTCACCTCCTTCAGTCCTGAAAACATCACTCGATGAAATAGTTAACTATCTCCAAATGCCGCATAGCCATGTAGAGCACACGTTAAACATCGTGTCCGGCGCAATGTCCCTTTCTCTCCCCATCCTGAACTGCTCCCCATGACTGCAATACTGGGGCTCAGAGTGACACCGAATCAGGATTGTTTTGGGAAGGTCGAGAGAAGGGAGCGTTTGTGTAAAACACAGTCATTTGGGTGGTCTGTCTGGAACAGGCCCCCTGCCAATCCCCAGCACAGGCCGACTTCCACCGCCGGCCCCGGCGCCTCTGCAACCCCGCGACCGGCCGGCGCCTCTGCCAGCTCCGCGGCGCGCATGCTCCGTGCGGGGCTTCTCCGGCGACCCAGGATAATGAGCGCCGGGCCCAGGGGGCGGGCCGAGCGGCGACTGCTAGAGCGGGGACCTCGGCGGCGGCCCCGGGGCGCTGTGCGCGGCTGCTACAGGGGCGGCGGCGGCGGCCAGCACTGTGCGCGCCAGAGTGTGGCTCGCTCGCCCGATGCGCACGCCCGCTCGGTCCCCAGAGCCCTCTAGAGGTGACTCGGGCGGGCCGGGCGGAGTTGCCTGTTGGGAGGGCGGGGATGAGGCAATGAGGAGACAAGCTGCCGCCGCCGCTGCTCTCCGCCAGTCGCGGCCGTAGCGGGAGTTGGGGCGGGGGCGAGGTCAGCCGTACCCCGCGCCAGGTTGCGAACCCAGACAAAGGAGGAGGAGCCGCCCGAGAAGAGGGCCAGCGCCGCCGGGAAAGAAGGCCGCCGTCTCGGTCGCAGCTGGAGGTCACCCGGCCTCTCGGGCCGCCGCGCTTCCTCTGCGGACGCTGCGCGAGGCGAGGCCGCCTGGCCCGAGGAAACCGCCCCCGGAG